AGGGGGAGAGGTTACAGCTGGGAGGCAAGGCCCTTTCGGCCCCCCGATCTCCTTTTCCCCATTTTCTTTTCTTCTTCCTCTTCTTTCTTTCCCTTTCTCTCCTTTTTCCCTTCTTTTCCTTCTCTCTCTCTCTCTCTCTTTTTTTTTGGTTTTTTTTTTGCGGATGGGGTGGGGGGGGGGGGCCAAGGCCCGCTCGGCCGCGCCTGTCTTTGAATGTGATACTTGTAGTCGTACAGAGTCTTGTAGCTATCTAACAAATTAAAACACGATCCCCCCCAAAACAAAATATTCAGTCTAGACTACATTGTATGCAGGGATACGTATAGTGGTGCCTGTGTGTTTCTTAAACTCTTTGTTGGCTTAGCCTAATTTGCCTCTGCTCTAGGCTCTATCTTTGAATTTTTGTTTGCTGTAAACACGATTAAGTTTTCTCTGTCATATATAGATCTAGGTCCATACCTTTTTTGCGTTTTTTCAATTTGATAAAATGAACAGTTACGAGACATGCATCTAGATCATCTAGAGACTGTAGATCAACTAGATCTGGATGAAGGATGAAGGAGGGCTTTTTTGGTAAAGAGAAAATCCAAATTAAAATAGAACAGTTAATTCTGCAAATGCTCATCAATGTTTAAATGATCATGCTCATTTCCTTTTATTCTAAGAATTGAATTCCCCCCCCCCCCTCTCTTTTACAGGAAAATGTACAGAGACACTTGTTGCAGTTAATGCATGCAGTACCAAATGCTTGCTTTCTTGGAGTATGTGCTTGAAACAAGAATGTCCTGGAGAAAACAGACCACCACAAGAGAAGGTAAACATATTTACTTTTGATCTAACTTGATCTGTTTATTTTTTTTCAAGTAAAACAACATTTTGAAATGAGTGAGGTCAAGGCCAAGCTGGAGGGGATGCGAAGGCTGGTTTGAGAAGTATGTATTAATGGGATGGCTATGTATGATTCCACATGAAAAAATTTGAGGCCTAGGCCTACAATGTACATGCAAGACATTTTTATGTTACAACAGAGATACATGTATGAAGTAGGTATCAATGTTTTACTTTCATTCTCTTCTCTTTTCATTCAACAGACATACATGTACAGTATGGACTATGAAGTTCTACTTAGCCTCTTCAATGAACTGCTGGAGCTGCGACTGGGTATCAAAACCTTGGTATTATAAACTTCATAACCAGTGGCGGAGATATGATGTTAGCCAGGGGGGAGGGGTCAGTGCCCCCCCCCCCACTTTTTCAAGTACCCCCAGTATGCCCCTTTTATGGCCTTTTCACATAGGTAAAGTGCCATATTACTTTGACAAGTTCCCCTATAAATTTGTAAAATTGCCCCTTCCCCATTTCACCTCTGATAAGTGCCCCTTATCCTTCGACAAGTTCCCATTATTCTATGCAATAAGTGTTCATTTTCCATTCTCATAACTGCCCTTTTTAATCTCTAGTAAGTGCCCCTTTTCAACTACGAGAAATGCCCCTTTTCACTTTTGATAAGTGCCCCCTCCATCTCCTGATTAGTGCTCTTTTCATCTCTGATGAGTGTCCCATTTTGTCTCTAATAACTGCCACTTTTATTTGACACGCCCCCTTTTCCTTCCTAATAAATGCTCTTTTTTCTGATCATAAGTACCCCTTACCCTTTTCATAATTACCCCTTTTCATCTCTCATAAGTGCCTTGTTTACTTTAATAGTGCCTCTTTTCCTTTTTAATAAGAGCCACTTCCCCGTTTTCAGAATAGCCCCCTTTCACCTCCAATAAATGCCCCTATTAAAATCTGATCTGCACCTCCCTTTTTGTCTCGCCTACAAGCAAAAAGTGAGACATAGGCGCTGCTTTTCCGGTGACGGCGGCGGCGACGGCGTCAACATCAAAAACTTAACCTAAGGTTAAGTTTTTGAATTTTTGATATAATTTTCAAAGTTTAAGTTTTTAGTCAATGAAACTTAGACTATAGGGTTATCAAGTATTCCCAATCACGTGAGAATTCCCATTCTCATAAGTGCCTTTTTTCATTCCTGGTGAGTGCCTCTTTCTGTAGGTCTAAGAAGTGCCCCATTTTCACCTCTGATAATTACCCTTTTTACATGACACATGCTCCTTTTCCCCTTATCCCTTTAGTGTCCCCTTTTCCTCTCATCATTAAACGCGCCCCTAATTTCAAGCGACTAAGAGTAACTTCCCCCAAAGCTCGCTCGCATTTATAGATGATATAATTACGTTACTTATTAAAGGTATTTTCAGTCTTCCATTGTGAGAATGTGCTTATAACCCCATCAGGATTGGGTTTTTCCCTCTTAATAAGATGCAATTTTTTGTACTGCAATATCTTGTATAATAATAATAATAATAACCTAGACTTATATAGCGCATTTCATCTTCGAAGAAATAGCAATGCGCTTTACAATATTACAATATTAATACAACAAAATTACACATAACAACTAATTCATGAACTAAAGATATATATGTATGGTGTATAAAGAGAAACAAATGTTGAAATCGTCCCTGATAATGTAATCACAATGTAGGGGTATATACCATTGTCTAAAAAATGGATATTTTCGCTTTGAGATTCCCTTTTTTTCCAGAAAGTGCCTATTTTGTTGGTGCCCCCCCCCCACTTTGAAAGACGCTCCGCCACTCCTGGGGGGGACACATCAGTCAAAAGCGCGCACAGGGGGGGGGGGGGGGTTGAGGGGTAATGTGCCTCCCTCCGAAGCTGAATTTTTGAACCTGGATTTTGTCAAACTCCCAATAGATAAATATCATTCACAATTCTCTTCAAGCAGTACGTGTAACTTCACCTTGCAAGCAGTATGTTTAATTTTTTAATCACCTTGTATATTAGGCCCTGTATTTCAGCTCAAATTGTTTAGTAATTGTGGACAGGCGAAGCAGGAAAATAGAAAATTTGGCCTTCATACACACAACCACACCAGTGACACCATGAAACAGAAACACTATTACAATGATTACCGGTACTGAAACATAGTTTTCAAACTACCGAGGAGAGGTAACCAGGAACCAAGGTATAATACAATGATGCAATTTTACCCATGTTGTAGTAGTACATGGTAGTAGTATGGATATCCCGCCTCTTCTTTTATGCACATCCTTTCCACTGCTATCGCAAGTTTTTAAAAAAGGGCCCAATGTCTGCATAACTAAGCAAGGTAGGAGTTCATTAAAAACATGATGTAAAACATTAAGTATATCACACTAAAGCATCTCAATCTGACAGCATGATGTGGAGAAAAGTTAATGGTGTAGATAAATACACAACAAATATGTTCATCGGCAGTCTAAGTCAAGCAATCATTTATAAAACTGAGGCTTTGCCAAGGCATCCATTTTAAGTATGTGTCTATAGGGCAAATAAGATGTAGTCAAGTACTCAAGTTACCACCTGTTAGCCAAGATCAAACTTTTGGAATATAAGAGTTTTGGGGAGGGGTCATCTTTTATCAATTTCTGTTTATTGATAATAATTATAACATTTGGGAATGGGCCTGTGAGTATGATTTATATATTGTATAAAACAAGCAACTGTTAATAAAAGGTCTGATATACCTTGGTGCGTGTGTGGACCACGGAGTAACCATCACACTAAAGGATGTTATATACTATTGTACAGTATTATTGTTTCTCTGGAAAAAATTGCAGTCATTGAGTCATAGGTATTTTTTTTTTTTAAAGAAATGTTTTTATAATGTGTTTTATAATGAAGGGTGCAGGTCATGATACAATACATTCCCTGGAGAAAAAAATAGTGCTCAGATTTAGCCTAAGTATGCTTTGTTGAATTTTTAAAGAAAAAAGTAATCTACAAATGGAAGTAGCAGATGAGGTCATTTGTGCTTAATATTTGACCATCAATGTTATAATCTGTAAACATATTAGTTTGTTGTAATAAAATGAATAAATTAAACATGTTTATTATCTTATATACAGTATTCCCTTCATATCTTTTCTTTTTAGTGTGCATATATGGTTGGATAAATAGAATCATATGTGGAAAAAATCTGGAAACAGAAGGTGAGAGTTCAGAGAGAGAGAGAGAGAGCAAAAGAGAAAGGAAAGGAAATGAGAGAACTGTTTAATGGTGAGAGATGTTGATGTCGTGAAAATGAAAAATTTATAATGCAGTGAGATAGCGAGAGAGAGAGAAAAAAAAAATTAAAAAATCCATCTTATAAATGCATTAATCGCCTCGCCGCAATGCGGCTCGTGGGCGATGCTCTGCATCGTCATAGGGACAACCCCCCCCCCTTAGCAAAAAGCTAGATCCGCCCCCCCCCTCCCCCCCTGATAGGCCCTGACAATGAAATCTGGAGAACATACAGTTTCACAAGGGCTGGACTACTCGGTCTCGTGGATCAAATAAAGAAATAATGGAAGTTATTATAAAAGTATGTTTTTCTCTCTTGTTATGATAATTGGAGAAAAAAAACCTGTTAATTAGATTATATTAGTTTTAGCTTCAACTCTTTGATATTAATATGCATGTGGGCACAAATAGCAGTAACTGCGGTAAGTGATATCTACGGTATTCCTTGAGCTGCGGTAAATGATCTTATTGTATATGCCACTTACTGGTTTTCCATAGACCTGTGCACAAATGTTATCATATAATGCTATTTTTAAAAAATTCAATAGGATGGTGTACAAATCGAATATATTATGCCATTCTTTCCACTTAACTTCATGTTATTCAATATCCGTGTCATTCAAACAATACAGGCAAACATTCCCTGATGTCATTAAGTTTACATCAATCTATCTTGCTTCTCTCCTTATAAACAAGCCATCTTCATTGGAATTCACATCCTGAATTCCAATGAAGATAGACACCTCTCTTGCATTGTACATGAAATATCCATTCACTGATCTCCGCACGAAGTACCCTCAATTTTACGCACAGAAAGCTCACACTAACCCGTAACCAAAACCACCCTGAAATGATGACAATATTCAAAAGATCAATTCATTTGTAATCAAGTGTGGATTTTAATTCATTTGATCCCTTGATAGTCTGGGTTCGGTTTACCGAAACAGGGGAGGGAGCAGCTTGTGGCGTGGAACCATAAGGACCAACGAGGTTCTTTTGGGACATAGTTTATATAAAATTACCAAGCTGAACCCTACCCTAATACCAGTCACATAAATCAATGCTCAACTGAGTATTTGTTGCGTTTTCCTCAATCATGACTTGTTGAGTTTTGTGCAGAAGTGCTACAATCCATTGTTTGAGAATGTATATAGCGAGTAGTCCAAATCTGGAGGGTCGCAAACTCCTTCTCAACCTCCATTGTTACATCTTGATTCCTGAAGAGCCTTGTGATTTGAGATGAACTTGGGAGAAGTTCCCACGTCGTTTTGGAGGCACACGCTCCTTGTGCTGACTGCTCCTCTTCAGCAACTACTACAGACAAGTCCACTTGTATCTTTGTAACCAATTCCAATAAGCCAGCTGTTCATGAATAAAATGTTAATTGAAAGAAGAAAAAAAAATCCAATATTGTTACAAGCACTTTAAGATCTAAAGCTGACATCACAAGTATATTTCTTTTTCTTCTTTCTTGTTGTTTTTCTTCTTCTAGTAATCTTCAAAGGGCTATTAGTTTTATATAAATTCACTGTTTGCTCAACAGGAGTACATTCCTTATTTTCTGTGCCAACGAGAGATCCCAGATTAAAATATTACTTCTCATTATGGTCTGAAATGAAATACCATATTGCCAAACATGTATTTTATTACTAATATACTACATGTCTGAGTAAAAGATCTAATCAAACATTCCGACCATTGTTTTAAAGACCGTCAATACTACTGGGCCAGAAGGGATTAGACCACCCAGCCAGGTCACTGACAGGTGGCTATCTCACCAACTCAGCTCTCAACTAACATAAGAGAGGATCATGGGGGACCAACAGACACCGATTGGGGAAGTTTTCTATATAGAGAGAGCAAGTAGGACAGTGGGGCTTTAAGAATAGCAATTAGCATTCATAGAAATGGCATAGAATTTACATCCTTAAACTTTAAGCTTTGAAAACCTCGTTTTGATTTGAGTGTAACTTTTGAGTTATTAACAACCAAAAGTTTCCAGTGATTTGTTTTTGTTTCACTTTTAGTACACAAACATATTTTTCTTTATCACACTTGCAGGATATAATCATATGAGATAATTTGATGTTGTACTGCTAGCCTGCCCCCCCCCCCCTCCCCCTCTATTATACGAGTGTGAAAAAAAATACAATTCTTTGTAGCCTTTCTTTATAACTAATCAAAATTTTGAACTTCAGTTAATGTTGTTTAAAGAATATATTATGAAAGTGAGATGGATTGCAGGTGGCAAGGGTGTATTGGTTGAGAATTGCAGGTAATAATTCATGCTCTACTATGAGCCAACTTACTTCACACACTATCATCTTGCAGCAGGGTAAGGTTTTTACAGAAATTTTAGAACTTGCAATGGGATGTACTTAAATATCAACTTTGTACAATAGCAGTATGTAGAAAGGAATTTAGGATAACCTGACTTTGGGTCTGCCAATGCTTAACACAAGCTTTATTTCATCAAGATATGGTTATTGCTCAAGTTGTGATAGGGTTTTAGATTAGCTTTAGGGTTATTGGGTTAATATTACGTTTAGCTATGGATCCAGGATTAAGATTAAGAATTCATTTTGTGTTACAACATAACCACTAAACAATAGAGCAGGTCGTAAAAATCAGATACACGTTTCACAAACTGGGGGTCAGCGTATTTTTAGTTTACTAATACAAAGGAAGATTTTTAAACTGCCAATGATGAGTATCAATACATACAGCTCCACCAGCACCTGGAAAATCTGATTGTACGACACTTGTTCCTCAAGACATTTGCTCAACATCAATTTCCTACACTATTATCCAAATACTTAACTTCATCCCGGGATCCAACACTAGACCTTACCCTATACCTAACCTCAATCCCAATTGCAACCCTCGGCCTAACCCTACACATTTGACAAATAAAGCCTCGAGCAGTCGTTGCAGGAGCAAATGTTTGGTCACTCGAAATGCCATGACAGGCTCACTTGCTATGACTTTATCTGTTTCTTTACCAGATTTTAAAAAAACCATTGTAATATTCATTATTAATTACCAGTCCATTGTGCTTTGCTCCTAATATGTCAGGCACAAGAGGCCATCGCTTTCAGGTAAGGGGCAGAACATCAAAGTGGAACCTCAAGGCACCCCCTGATCTGTCAACAGGAAGCCCTCCTTCTCAATCCCTGGAACAGAATTATAAACAATTCAATAAATATTAACCAAATTTGAAATAAATAGCACTATTTAATATTTTAGTTGTCTTTAACGTTTACTTTTTCAGCAAAATTTGAAGGTCAATTGTTTTTTTTTTTTTTTTTTTGCTTGTCGTTCCTTTTCATGTATTGGACCCCCCCCCCCCCCTTTTCCCCCCGCACATGAGCTTAAAAATGTTAATTCTAAAAAGAGAAACACTTCAGCAACGTGTTAGTAGACATGTGGATTCATACATAGCCATCCCATGAATACATACTTCTCAAACCAGCCCTTTGCATCCCCTTCAGTTTGACCTTGACCTCACCTATTCAAAATTTTGTTTTACTTGAAAAAAACTAAACAGATCAAGTTAGATCAAAAGTAAATATGTTTACCTTCTCTTGTGGTGGTCTGTTTTCTCCAGGACATTCTTGTTTCAAGCACATACTCCAAGAAAGCAAGCATTTGGTACTGCATTAACTGCGACAAGTCTCTGTACATTTTCCTGTAAAAGAGAGGGGGGGGGGTTTAATTCTTAGAATAAAAGGAAATGAGCATGATCATTAAAACATTGATGAGCATTTGCAGAATTAACTGTTCTCTTTTGGATTTTCTCTTTACCAAAAAAGCCCTCCTTCATTATCTAACATTGAAATTTATATTCAATTCCTTGATCCAGATCTAGTTGATCTACAGTCTCTAGATGATCTAGATGCATGTCTCGTAACTGTTCATTCTATCAAATTGAAAAAACGCAAAATAGATATGGACCTAGATCTATATATGACAGAGAAAACTTAATCGTGGTTACAGCAAACAAAAATTCAAAGATAGAGCCTAGAGCAGAGGCAAATTAGGCTAAGCCAACAAAGAGTTTAAGAAACACACAGGCACCACTATACGTACGCCTGTATACAGTGTAGTCTAATTTGGGGGGATCATGTTTTAATTTGTTAGACAGCTATGAGACTCTGTACGACTACGAGTATCACATTCACAGGCAGGCACGGATCCAGGGGGGCCGCCCCCCCCCCCCCCACCCGCAAAAAATAAAAAGAGAGAGAGAGAGAAGGAAAAGAAGGAAAAGAAGGGGAAAAGGAGAGAAAGGGAAGGAAAAAGGAGAGAAAGGGAAGAAAGAAGAGGAAGAGGAAAAGAAAAGGGGAAAAGAAGGAGATCGGGGGGCCGAAAGAGCCTTGCCTCCCAGCTGTAACCTCTCCCCCTCCCCCCATCAAAAAATAAAAGAGAAGAAGGAAAGGGAAAGAAAAAAAGTAAAGAGGGGATAAAGAGAAGGAAAAAAGAGGAAGAAGAAAAGAAGGGGGAAATCAGTTGCAATTTTCCCGCCAACAAGTTGTAGTTCGGGGGGGGGGGCAAAGGCCCTTGCCTCCTCCTCCCTCCCCCCCCCCCCCCCCCCCCCAAAAAAAGGAGAAGGAAGGGAAAGGGATAGAGGAGAGCTAAAAGGGAACAAAAAAGAGGAAGAAGAAAAGAAAAGGGTGATAAGAAGAGGAGAACAGTTGCGATTAATCCCGCCAACAATGTGTGGATCTGGGAGGGGGGGGCCAAAAGGCCCTTGCCTCCCCCTAGCAAACCTAAAACAGAGAGTAGGAAGGGAAAGGAAAGGGAAATAGGAGAGAAAGGGAAAGAAAAAAAGAGAAAGAAGAAAGGTAGGGGAGATCAGTTACGTGTAGATCGGGGGGGGGGGGGGTGGGGCACTGGCGAACTGATGGGGAAGGGGACTTGGGGGGGGGGGGGTTGACAGATGGCCCCCAAATATAATTCAAACGTGGTTTATTTCTAATTCGATACCGGTGATTACCGTGATTTACAAATGTTGCTGAAATGACATAATTTTCTGAGATTTTTCCTCAATGTTTAATAAATTATACTTTTAATGCGTTTGTGGGACAATGGCAAATTCATAAAGAAAGAAAGAATAGTGACGCCAATTAGTGTCCTGCCAGTGTCACAAATAAGGTATGCTGATATGCTCATCTGACCGCAATTAAATGCCAATACCCCTGAGCTTCTGGGGGTTCCACCCCTTGTCCCCCGCAGGTTCTTCGCCCTTAGACACCACGCCAATTTCACAACGCTCTACTCGATCGTAACTACCTCCCCCCCCCCCACCTACTTTTAGAGAGAAACGTCTAGCGGAACCTGCATGTAAGAGTGGGGTGGTGCAGATTTTTTTGTCTACCCCCCCCCCTCCCGGTTTTTGCTCATTTCGCCACTGCAGGTGTCACTATTATGTACCAATATTTGGCTTGCATAATTTCAAATTTGGGCCCCCCCCCCCCCCCCCCACTAAGAAATCCTGGATCCGCGCCTGTTCACAGGTAGTCCAATTAATTACTGGTCTGTAGGCCTAGGCCTCAAATTTTCTAGGCCTACTCTCGTACTCGTCTATCTCGGTATCTGGTCCAAATTTTGGCGCTTGTTCACAACTCATGTCAACTGTGACCATGCTTTTTAGTGTTAGCTATTAACTTTCTTCTGACCTAACTATGAAAGTAGTTTTTCAACAGTTGGACCTAAAAGTAACAAAAAGCTTGGATCATTGATGCAGCTAGCGCTAGTGAAGTGATCTGCCTATAGACCCTATACTCGTATCTAATTTTCAGAGAGGGTCTCGCCCGAAAGTTTGGGCCAAGGATCAAGGAGTGACGATGGCAATCGAGCTGCAATAATTCTTACGACGATAAATAACGAATCAAAAGTTCGAGTGTAGATTACTCCTAAATTCATCAGATATAACCATTTTAAACCACTTCACAATGTACAGACAAATCAGCAGATTCATACCTACAGCAGATATGTTTATAAATATGATTCAATTTACGAGATTTGAACGTAATTACAGCTGTACTCACCATCAAACTTTCAAAGAAAACCTCGAGCTCTCACTCTGTGTGGGTGACGTCATACATTAAATATGCATGCAGCGAAAGTCTTGTCTTCAGATCAGGCAATCGTACATAAAAACTTCCATCACAGATAGAAAAATTTCTTATTAAAATAATGAGGATGATTACAGTTATCAATTATTATAACCAAATCTGCATACAAATAAGAAGGAGAATGGTGATACAGAGACTTATTTACTGAACGTAGGATTTCTGATAAGAATGCACAAAGAACACAAAATGGAAAGGTGCCTGGAATAGAGGATAATAATATCAGTCAAGCTCATGAATATTCATATTATGGGCGTTACCAACCATTGACATTTGCATACACAATCGTTATTTAATATATAATGGAAATGCGCTTTTCATTATATATTATATAATGGAAATGCGCTGTTCATTATATATTATATAATGGAAATGTGCTTTTCATTATATATTATATAATGGAAATACGCCTCTCATTATATATTATATAATTGAAATGTGCTTTTCATTATATATTATATAATGGAATGTGCTTTTCATTATATATTATATAATGGAAATACACTTTTCATTATATATTATATAATGGAAATGTGCTTTCATTATATATTATATAATGGAAATAGGCTTTTCATTATTTATTATATAATGGAAATGTGTGTTTCATTATATATTATATAATGGAAATACGCTTTTAATTATATATTATATAATGGAAATGGCTTTTCATTATATATTATATAATGGAAATGTGCTTTTCATTATATATTATATAATGGAAATATGCTTTTCATTATATATAAATAATGAAAGTGTGAATTGTGATTATTTATAAATAATGGCAATTATATATAAATAATGCAAAGTTCTTTGTCATTATTTATAAATAATAAAAATGTGTTAAGAATTATATACAAATAAAAACGTACATTTTCATGCATTATATGTAAATAATGGTTATTATTTGTTAAATAATGATTATATAACATATAACTTGTCTATATAATTGTTTTACAAACGGCGCCTCATAATACCCCCCCCCCTTTCCCACTCTCTCTACCCATTTCTCCCAACTACCACCCCAATTCTACATTCTACCCACTATTGTCCAGTAAGCTACACAAATTTAGCTTGGTGGTCTACAAAATAAATGATACTCACCTCGGCAAGAGAGGGCAGTATTGCAAAATGTTATGAACATAGGAACACAAATTTAGCTCGGTGGTCTACAAAATAAATGATACTTACCTCGGCAAGAGAGGGCAGTATTGCAAAATGTTATGAACATAGGTTGATGTTCTTGTTTGAAAGTTTAGTTAACTTGTGATGAGTGATGGCAGAGAGAGGGGTAAACCAGCTCAATCAATGAAACACACACACAAAAAGACTGCATTGTGATTAAATAAGATAGAACATACCTGTGCAGGTCCGTTGTTGAATGTGACACGTCTTTTTGCTTTAGTTTTTGGTGTTGATTCGAGCTCTTCTGTATCTGACAAGCCTTGGATCTGTATCTGGTATGACTGCAGAGAAATACATAAAGAAATATTCAGTTAGATGGGCTGTATCATGACATAGTACTCATTTTTACAAAGTGTTAAAGAAGAGAATAATTAGAATATGATTATGAACAGAAATTATGAGATTGCAGAAAAAAGGAGATTTTTTTTAAGAGAGAAGAAGAAAAAAACATGATTATAGAATTCATAATCCTGAAGACATTTCTGCAAACACTACCCGGCACATTATGATTACACACAAACAAATGGAAGAAGTAAGTTGTAAGAAGTTTATTTGATGAATTGCATTCTTTGGCCAAAATATTTGAATACGAAAACAAAACACAAAAACTGAGTATTATTTGTTTTCAGTTTGCCTGCCACAAGTATGTGGTTGAATTTTTATGATCCTGAATGGAGTGATGCAGTCTTGAATAAATAGTGAAACCTGTAAATAAACACTGCTCAAGGGAAACAGGTTTTTTTAAAGACAGGTGGTCTTTCAATACGTACAGGTTCCTTCAGTACAGGTTTCAATATATACAAGGGAAGTTAAACAAAAACGGTCTTTATAGACAAGTGATCTAGCTATACAGGTGGTTGCTAAGGCAGGTTTGACTGTAAATACTGTTTACAATAAAATTACACATCTATACAATACGTAATTAGAGTTAGGAATAATTTTTTTCTTTTTTGCTGTTCTCAGATGACATGCTTTTCCCTTGCGTGATGAGATCCCATGATGCGACTACCAGCAGTATAAGGCAATGTCGATGAAAGATGCATCAAGTCAAAGTCTGTTTGCTGCCATCTCATGGCAATAGTCTCATAAGTTATTGTGGTACCCCAAAACAATTATTGCATCAAGAGTGTAAAATTCAATTTGCAAACTCAATAAATACAGCTGCCAGATTTTCAGTTTACATGTACCTCAACTTGGATTGAAGGCATAGAGATATTTTTTCTGATAATATGATTATATGAAATTAACAGTGTTTCATTGTAAGCAACACTGATAAAAGAGAACATTTTCTCAAAGTTACAATACTGATATTTAGATGCACCTTATCAAATGATTTACATTAATTAAGATAAAGAACTGTACTTAGATATTTGACACAGTTTATGAACTGATACAAAACTCAATTAAATAATGGAATTTTTCATATTTTAGTTACAATAAAAACATTTTATTCACACAAGGGTTTATAAATTATTTTCCCTGCAAGTGAATTCCTAAAAAAGATTTGTTAAAAATGTGCTTTCTTGTTTGTTTGTAGAAATTTACAAATCAAGCATGCTTATTGTGCATATATCCCAGGTTAACTTTATTTGAAAAAAGTGCTAATGCCCTGGGACTATGTGTAACTAATACCCAGTAATTCTCACATGGCAGATGAAAGCCAACTTATAGGCCTACATTTTAAGCCAATCATAGACCTAGAATTCAATATGTGATATTAATTCATTAATGTTATTGTTATAGTTCAAGTGATTACAATCAGAGAGGGAGAGTTGGACATGTATGCTTAAAAAACACTTTTTTTCTCACCCACCATGTCTGTTCATGGCTTATCACATGTCAGTAATCGGTAACGGATCATGTGGCCTGTAGAATGTCAGGAGAAGTCAGTGGCTTTGAATACAATTAGTGTCATTACTAAGGGAAGCCCCTCTAAAACCAATCTAAAGAGACTACAGTCTACTTTCCAAGACCTTGGTCTGAAAATCAACACAGATGTTTTCTTCTACAGATCAAACTGAAGACCTATAATTTTTTCTCTATTTCATTAGCTCATTAAATTAAATTGAAATTCAAGCCTTTTTTAATCATTTTTAATATCAATTATTTTAAAATAAATCTTTCGCTCACAAAGGTAAAAGACAATTAGGACACTAGTGTAGACTATTTTTTAAATAGTGTAGGATAAACCTAGCAGACATTTCAGGAATTATTAGAATATAACAGGTCAATGACACTATACATGTAGATAGGTAGGCTTAGACAATTATTTAATTACCCTCTCCATTAATTTAATTACTTGACTAATTAGACAAATATTTAACTCTGGAAGAGAAGTGTTACTGATTTATCAAGATGGAGGATAAGCAGAATGGATAGGGGGATTAACAATTTTTGTTTTAAAGAATGCAGCCCTGGGATTAAAATGACTCATTTCCACTATTCATACTATATATTTTTTTCTTCCAATCAATATCCATGCTTTGCTTTTGAAGCTATTGCACCTGTTATCTACCTTTTGCCAATGTTCATCTCTCCCTCCTTCCCTCCCTCTATCAGATCCCCGCAAAAAGACCAGGGGGTGTTTCACAAAGATCTTAAGATCATGAAATTATCTCTAAGTTGGACTTAACAATTATGGAAAGTTGTTAACATCTATGAAAATATTTAGCAAAAGTTATTTTAAAAGGCATAATATCCTGATTCAAACCATTCATATTTTCTATTATCAAGGAGATTTCATGTTCTTAATGTGGAATTTATAACAATTCTAAAATACTTGATTTTTTTATTTTGAATATATTTATTTTACGGCTACAAATGACTCTCCATAATTTTTAAGTCCAACTTAGAGTTAAGTTCGACTTAGGATCTTTGAGAAACACCCCCAGTAGTGTTATTGGCAATTCATAGCGCCTACAGCCTTCTAGCAGGCAAGCACTCAAGCTTTGACTACAAAATTTGTTCCAAACATTGTATCCCAGTCACGTTGTATAGTATGTAAACATTTCTTTCTCTATGAGAATATTAGGTTTCCTGAAGACATTTCAATCACTGCTCTAACATTTGATTAATTACACTGTTTGTAGTGAACCTCATAATGTGACTGATCAATCAGTCAGAGTCTACACCGTTTGTTGTGTGAGTGGGAGTATAATGAATTCATGTTGAAAGGAAAGAAATGTCACATGACCTGACTTCAAAGTGCTCACCCTTTCATACCCTTACTATAAGTACACCTGATACATAACTGTAGTTGAAAGATCAGAAGTTCATCAGCTACGATAAAATAAAAGGATAGCAAATCTATAGGTTCTTTCATGACTGATGTAATGTATTTCAATTTATACAATTTGGCTGAATTAGGAAGTTATGGAGCCTGGGCAAAAAACTTACCAAAAACAAAAACATCAGAAAACCATAAAAAATAATCATGTATTTCTCCACCGTGCAATTTCATAAAAATGATTACATGCGATAATTACTTGTAAAGAAAAGAAGTTTCTGTCTTCCAATAAAATCAAAGCAAAAATGGTACCCAACCTGAGAATCCCTAATACAAACATTGTCTAAGCAAGCAGGTTGTCTAGATGTAAGAAGGGAATGAGAGAACGAAAAACATATATAGCACCTTTGAACACAACTATTATTCCTTCTCCTTAAAATTGATTTATTTCCAAGATCTGACCTCACTATGATGCTAATGATTTATAGTCAGTTGAGTGTGGAAGATTATTAATAAGGAATTTATATACACGTCAATGATGAAGTTTTATTAAACAATTTTTAATGACACCATCACAATTGAATGCCATATAAAGACTCATTAATACCTTTTTATAGCACTTTGAGATATATCACAGCAGAAGAAATCAATCAATTGGTTTGATTTTCAGTGTCACCATCTTCATAGCTCAATGGATAAAGCAATGGTCTAAAGAAGAAATCTATATTCTGAGTATTAGAGATAACGACCAACTTGTATTATGATACAATGAGAGCTAGAAAGGTGTTAGCTCAATGTATTAATCTCTTAATACCCTTCTGGTTCTCAGGGAATGATATGAGTTTAATGCAGTCTAGCATAATAGTTACATGACATGTACACTCTGTTTTGACTGAGAATTATAAAACACCCTCTAAAAAAAAAGACATTACTCTCTCCCCCCCCCCCCCCCACCCCCTCCCCCCCCCCCCCCCCTCGGAAAAAAAAAAAAGAGGAACAAAAGAACATTGGATTGTTGATTTGGATGGGAGTGATGTTTAAAAATAAAGATGTTGTATATAATTCTCAGTCAAAATAAAGCTTTTTTATGCTACAAACGCTATAATAAGCTCCTTTTGAAGGACGGAGAGGTTGGATGTTGGGGGGGGGGGGTGTATATATCCCTCCCTTCTTATTCTTGTACATAGGCAAGATGGTACACAACTCAGACTATGAGTCACCTCACAGTTTCTTCAAGCGCAACGTTATTTTACGACTGTGCAAGCAGACCGCGTCATGCCTCGCTTGAGTCAGGATTAAAAATAAATCTCATTAGAAAAGCGCGAGATGCATGTGTGCTATACATGTAGGGACAAATAAAGGTGAAATATTCAATAACTACATTAAGGTTCAAGAACTGGAATTAGACTTTAAATGTGGAGTAGTTCAATATTGACTCGGTCCAATATTTATTTGGGGAGAAGGAATTAAAGTGGAAAAGTCCTAATAGAATCTTGATATTCACCCATTGCACAGCTCTAATTTGCTCCCGATTCATTAAACATTACATGTAGATGGTAAGATGTAGTCATCTTGTGTCATGAGATGCACATGCACTAGTTATAAAATTAGACTACTATAATTCTGCTGTTTAGATCTAGGAAGGTGTGACTGTGAACTCAGTGTTCAAGTATATAAGTCAATGCCCTTCTGGCTCCAAACAGATAAACCGTCTTAAAACTGGCAGGATTATAAGATACTGAGATGTGAAGCATACACTTTGCATCACCATTTATTTAAAGAATGCTGGTGTTTTGCCAAATCATATCTGAAAGAGGCTCTACCAAGCTATTTTATATTTAATATTTTAAATTTGTTTATCGCATAATAATTGATTTTTTATCAAGTTTTGAGAATTCACTTGAAATTTGATGGATTATACAATGAGTTTTAGGATATTTCAGTTGACAGACCAAACTCTAGAGACTACCTTTAAAATTGACGCCTAGAGCGATACGCCCTATATACACGGATGTACACTGATGCTAATTCTAGCAGGTTAAACAGACCTTTCGT